GTTTAAACATTGTTATATGCTTGAACTGTTTTATATCTATAGATTTTATTTTAGGCAAGTCGTGATGATTTGAGAAGGCTAAATTGATCAAACATTGGCTACGATCAGCTCACTGTCTGCCGCTGGCCGCTTGGTCGTTACTTTAAAAAACAAAAACTTGTAACGAACAAAAAAATGCTTTTCTAAATGTTTTTCTAAATTATTTTAATAAAAAAACGAAACTAAATAGAATTACTTTGCCATTACATACAAAACTGAACTATTTAAATAGCTGAAACAGTAGTATAAGCTGTTTTGGGAGAAAGGGGAAAAAAGACGGGCTCGGGCCGATAAGTCTGATAAGCTGTCGGACATGGGCTGGGCTAGGGCCTATATTTGAGGCCCGTGCAGGGCTCTACCAGGAACTATGATGAAGCAGCGCTAAATATATAGCGTTATGTCAAAATACTCATTTATTTAATTTTAAATTAAACAAATGTAATCCTGATAGTATTCCCACTTTTTACAAAATGTAACTGTAATCTGAATACTTTGTTTCTGATGTAACTGTAACGGATTACAGTTACTAGTATTTCGTATTCTGATTACGTAACGCCTTTACATGTATTCCGTTACTCCCCAACCCTGCTTGTGTATGATGAAGGGTGGAGCTAAGCACTGTTATAGGCAGTATGTGGTGGTTAAAGAGTCCATCAAAAAGAAAACATTTTTTTTTTCATTTTAGCAATCACCACGCTGTGTTTCGACAAAGTACTAGTCTAATGCAACACCTCTACAATAAATAGCAGATTATTTAGCGCCAACACTAATTACAATGAACCAAAGTCAACATAAATTAGCATACCGCTGTCTGACACAGCTGGGCTTGACTTTCCAAACAAACAAAACGGATATTATTTTTATGAAAAAAGAGGAGGACTCTTAAAAAAAGATACAATACAATGGACACAAACTGACTGCATCCCTCAGGGTAAACCAAAAATGTCCATCCCAGAGCAGCTCTTTTTAACTCCGGGCCCTCATTAGAATGCAGCGTTGGCTATTGCTGCCAAAAGAATTGACTCTCAAAGGAGTTCAAAACAAAGCTTTAGTCAGGGCATTACACTGTGGAACAATTTTAGCATGCCCTAGCGAGAGCAACTTGTATGTATGCGTATACCTGCATGTTAAAGTTAAAAAGGAAAAGAGACCTGCGACTATGCAAAACTTTTATTGCACAGCCATGGAAACTAAGCAGTTACTTTGCACTAAATAACTTGCTGACAGCTAACCACTTATCTAATTAGCTGGCTAATATGCTCACGCTACACTGTCAGCTCGACTCTAAAATTGACAGCACTAACTCTAATGCAAACACATGCAATCAAGCTAATTTCAGAGACGTACAGTGATGTGGTTTTGCTCCAATACAAGGTTATGCGTCTGGTGGAGAACGTGGGCATGGTTGTGGTTAAGCGTATGAAAGTGGTTGAGGCTCAGGGCGTGGTTCTTGTCGAGGGTGTGGTTGAGAGTATGGACATGGTTGTCATTGAGGCTGTGGGCATGGTTGTGATTGAGAAGGTGGGTGTGGTTTAGAGTCTGAGTGTGGTTCTGGTGAAGAATGTGGGTGTGGTTATGGCTATGTCCATGACTGTGATTGGCCAAGGCTAGAGGAGGGTGGGCGGGGCAGGTTTGGTGGCAGCCTTGGCAGCACCCAGGTGAATATCGGAGAGAGCCGCACTGCTCCTGACTGTAGAGGCTGGGCCGGTGCGGGCACCTCTGCCGGCAAAGAGGCAGAACGGAGAGAAAGGTAGGAAGAGAGAAAAAATGAGGGGTGAGTTGAAGAGAGGAAGCGGAAAGGTGGAGCAGACCTGCAGAGACAGTGATCCCTCTCATCCAAAAGGATCCACACACACACTTGGAGAGTTCCTGCTGCAGTTACCATGGTTACATGCAAGTCTAGTCCTTTACATGAACAAATCACTGCAAGGCACTGGGTAAAGGGCTTAAAAACGGCATGAAAATACCCCATAAGGTTACAAGTGCTAAGTATGTTACTGACATTCTTGATTGCTTTCTCGTATTGGATATAATTACTGGTAATTATAACTAATATTCATAACTATTTGACCTTTCAAAAACATTTCAATATGAGCAAAGCTATTCAAAAAGCTTCTGATTTTAAAGGATTAGTTCACTCCAGTATTAAAATTTCCGGATAATTTACTCACCCTCATGTCATCCAAGATGTTCCTGTCTTTCTTTCTTCAGTCGAAAAGAAATTAAGGTTTTGGAGGAAAACATTTCAGGATTTTTCTCCATATAGAGGACTTCAATGGGAACCAACGGGTTGAAGGTCCAAATTGCAGGTTCAATGCAGCTTCAAAGGGCTCTACACAATCCCAGCCGAGGACTAAGGGTCGAAACTATCGGTCATTTTCTAAAAAAAATAAAAATATAAATACTTTTTAACCACAAATGCTCATCTTGCACTAGCTCAACTTCACACATTACTTAATCACGTTGGAAAGGTCACGCATGACGTAGGCGGAAGTACCGACCCAGTGTTTACAAAGTGAACGTGCAAAGACTAAGTCAAACGCCCTTTACAAAAAAAGGTAAAACAACGTCAGATGATTGTGAAGTTGGAGGTGAAAATGAGAGTTTTTTGCCCGACCCTACCTTTATGAACCAGTGTAGGTACTTCTGCCTACGTCACACGTGACCATTCCAACATGACTACGTTATGTGTGAAGTTGTGAATGCACATCGCAGACCTAGTGAAAGACGAGCAATTGTGGTTAAAAAGTATTTTAAAAAATTATTTTTTAGAAAATGACAGATAATTTCTCCAGATAATACCCTTATTCCTCGGCTGGGATCGTGTAGAGCTCTTTGAAGCTGCATTGAAACTGCAATTTGGACCTTCACTATATGAAGTCCACTATATGGAGAAAAATCCTGGAATGTT